AGAGCAATATTTGATATTAAATTGTGGCTTATATTAAACAAACACATGTAATAAATCAAGTTTGATTGATATTCTCTTGCTATAGTGTTAAAACTACATGTCACATAAATCATGTTCATAAATATTTGGCACAGATTTCCCGAGGTCCTTGTGTTAAACATTACTTCTCCAACAATTTTGTCACGGGCCAACTACCTCAACTCAACCGCCCGTCCGAGGCGGAGTCCTGTCATTTACAGGTGACGCGTGACACGCGGCGGACGTTTTTGCAGAAACTTCGCGGAGGCCTCGACCCCGCCGAGCTTATAAATACGTTGAGCTACGTAATTTTAATAAACTTCATCGATAAGTAAACTTCATCGGCAAAGTAATAAAAACAACAAGAAGGACCCGCACATAACGGTTTCTAAGAATAACGTCGTTATGTCATATATCGGCGAAGTCTCGTTTCGCCGTGGTTCTATCGAAATTATCCAGAGCAGTCGGTCGTTAGACGATAGAAGAGGCTTCGACATAATAAATACACATACGTGCATACAGTCGTGCAAATTTGCACCACCCGACGAGAGGATGCGCATGGTGTGCGATTGTCATTATGTTCGCGGCGTGTCCGCTGGAGTCTGAGGTTGCGGCTGAGGTGCATACGCGATCGTCCGTGTCTAATGATCGCAATCCTACGTGACATTAATTTTTCCTCTCGTTCCTCGGGAAAAAAAACTCGAAGACGGATGTAATTCCACTCGAACCGTGTCGTCTTTTGCTGGTTACGATATCGGTAGTCGTAAAAACCGTGTGCCGCCTGACAAACATCGCGAGCGACCAATGGGCATGCGTGCGTGTGTGTATGTGCGCAGTGCGAGTTTTTCACGGTCGTAAGTATAGCATATTTAATTTTAACCTCGATCAATCGGACACATTCGGTCTTCCTAGTGCACACACTCGTGTCGCGCGACGCTCGATATCACGACGACATGCGGCGGAATTGCGGAACGAAACGGGAGCCGCTTCACGGCTGGCTCCATCTGAATTGTGTAATTTCAGCGAAAACCGCGTTATTAGAGTTTCGCGTATTTAGTTTTGCCCAGCTCGCCCGGACGCCAGATGTTTATTTAGGCGAAAGAATACGATTTCGGGAGAAGCGGGGATGCAATTTATCACACGGGGCTCTCAGCGCGAAACGCTCCGAGTGCTGCGCGGCCGTCTCTGTTTTATTAGGATCAAAGCCGTCCGGGTTTAATTACGCGCGAATCTGAGCCCGCGGTTTATTTATCGGCGGTAGCCGTGAAATATTATGGGAATTACTACCAATCGCTACTGTTATTACTATTATTGTTGTTGTCATAATCACTGCTGAACGGTTATTATCGTTTAACGACGGATATCAAGCAGATACAACTTTATTAAGTTTCCAATAATGGCCAATTTATTTGTATAAAAAAGGGAGAGAAAAAAAAAAGATGTTTCGCCTAGTTCTCCGTTATGTTTACGTCAGGCGATCGCATCTGCATATTGGAAATTGCGATCCCAGAAACTCACGTGTAGCGGTGCTGCGATGATTCTGTGGAAATTCCAGAAACCTGGAAATCGAAATTACTCGCGAAGTTACTTCGAGCTCGGCGCACAATGCCGAACCGTCATAACTTTTGCTCAGCTCGGGAGAACAATTATTCATAACCACGAGGTGATTCTCCGCCTCGTCTTTTGTATCGCGCTCGCAACGACGATCGACACGATGTCGGAAAGAACGCGCGAATAAGCCGCCCAGCTTTTGCAGCTTCGGAAACACCGTGCTTCCTGCGAAACGATAATTGATCGGTCCACGGGAGAACTTATTGTTTCCTCTCGCGCAGGATCGCATCAAGGTTGCCACAGATAATGAATTTTGAAATTTCCTGACTTTTCCATATTTTTCCGGAGACAGTGGACAATTTTTCATTACCAACATATAATCTTAAACATAGACAGTGAACAATTTTTCATGACCAATACATAATATTAAATTTTAACGTTCAGAAGCAGGGATTGCAGAGATAGCTTATTATTGTTAGAAGCAGCACAAACTGAGAAATATATTAACACAACATAATCCGGTCCCTTTCTATAATTCCCGATTCTGTAATTTATAACGAAAATTTCGTTATCGTTAATGTATCATTGCGCAGCTATTTTGTGACACATTTTGTCCGCACAGAAATTTGTAATGCATACATTAAAAGTTATAGAATAAGGGCGCAGGGTATCTACAATATTATGGAAATATTCGGAAAGGTTTCCCATCGAAATTGCTCAATTATTCCCTAGATTTCTATTGTAATTCTAGAAAATAACTGAACGATTCCGAAACCTTTCCGAACATAAATACTCTGTAGTACTCTTCCGTAATAGATACTCTGAATGTAAATTCAGACCAACAAAAAATAAATGAGTATTGGAAAGACGCTGTTATGACGGAAAAGGACGATTGAATAAAAACACTGAATAAAATTAACCAACAATCACATTCTCGAGGAATAATCGACTATGATTCGACCACTTTTCTTACTGCTTAAGTTTTTTCACGTGCCACATCCTTAAAACGTAAGAAATGATTTGTAAAATGCGCGAGTTTTCAACAAATATGATTATAAATGTTAAATATAATATTAAAAAAATTATAAATATTTTTTAGAATAAAAACATTTAAGGGAATTGTGGACAAGGTTCAAAATTCCAGGCTCTTTCATATCTTCTCCTCGCGGAAAAAAATAATTTGCCGGCACAGCGAATTTTACAATTATTGTGCGGCCAGCCAAAAGATTTGTTGCGCGGAAAAAATAATTTTCCCGTTGTAACCAAACATTTAGTTGGCATAACCAAATTATTTTGCTGTCTCAACAAATCTTGCTGTTTAAACAAATCCTTTTTTTTTCTGTCCGCATAGCAACTGACAAATTCGTTGTGCGAGCAAAATATGTTTTTCCGTGACATTTCCAAGTTTCTCCCGACCAATTTAAATTTCCGTAACTTCTCCCGGTTTCCAGGTCTGCGGCAATCCTGTCGCATGGCAATCCGATACGACGATATGACGAGGAAAAACGGACAACGGGGAAAACTTCTGGCGATGGGGCCCGCGCGCGCGCGCGTGTGCGCCGTCGTGTTTACGCGCTTCGGGTGCGTTTGAATTCGCGCGAGATCGCATGCGAACCGATTCATTCGCGAATTTGTTCGCGGACAGTCGGACCCACCCGAATATCTCTCGCGGAGAGATAAAGCTTCCAGAATGGTTGCCGACGAGCGATCGATATCAGGGCGCGATAACGCCATACCTGTGCTGCCGTATTTACACGCATAATCGCCATGCGGTTTGTTGACGAATGTGTTGTTGCTCGAGATGTTACCGGACGAAACGAGATCATTATGCAACGGTGGTGGCCGTAAGAATTTCTCCCTCTCTCTCTCTTTCTCTCTTTTTACAGCCATGGCTGTGCGAGAATTGTTGTCGCGAGGCGAATCCCGCGATGCGGAAAAATACCAGAAGTTCGCCTTGAGGTGCGCTTTGCACCGTAAAAATACGGAGAATCCGAGGGGTAAGTTGACGTCGGTATTGTCGGCGCGTCGCTTTTGGCACGACCGAGTCGCGAATATACGAACTATTTTCGAGCGGGATAATGGAGCGAAATTCAATCGATAATAGATTTGCCCTTTCGCCTTGTGCACGCGGTTTTGCTACGCTCGCTACGGCTGAAACGCGCGGCGAGCATCTCGCGAGCCTCTCTCGTCCTTCGACGAGAAAAAGAAGGGAGATAAAGGCTGTGGAAAAGTGTACGGAGCCCAGATAAGACGAGCGAGCGTTGTGTAATGTTGTATTCTGCGACACGCGTTCACGCCGAAAATATCCCGTATTCGTAACTGATAAGTGTACACAAATTAACGACCGTTCCGAAAGTCATGGCCGAGTGATCGCTGTTTTGCGCGGTGGAGTTCTGTATATACGGATAAGAATCGACTTTGAAGTTGACGAAAAAAATTCATTCGCACACCCACACACACAACTGTGAATGACCCAGACAGAATAAATTTCTAAGACTTACTAAAAACATCTAAAAATAGAAGATATTTGAAAAAAAAAAAGCAGAACGTCTTTTAGACGTCTTCAATCCTCGAAGTATCGGTCTTCAATAGATATTTTAAGCCTCAAGCCTTGAGAAATTGATCAATCACGGTCGAATGTGAAGGGAATAATTAACTATAATTAGTCAATTTCTCAAGACTTAAGGCTTAAAATATCTATTGTAGACCGACACTAATAGCAAGGCGAATATTCAGAACGTTAAAGTATTTGTCACAGTATTTTTTACTGCAATTATTTAAGATTTAACTTCATTATATTTTCTCATGCATAAATAAACAGAGAAAGAAGTTTCAAGTTATCATTTACTCCTTGTATCCATTTTGCACATTAATTGGGTGAAAAATGAACACAACAGAGCACGGGGTCGGATCAGACTCCACCTTACCATTAGAGGATTAAAACCATCTTAGACATTTGTCCCGTTTCTTTTTTTAGCTGAGCTGGCTGCGCTAGTTCAAGAAATGTACACACGCTGAAGCGTGAGAATCTCATACGTACGTGCTTCAACGTGTATGTAAATTTCTCGAAGTGGCGCAGCCAGTCCAGCTGAAAAGGACCGACCAATTAATATCCGCGAACGTTCGTGCATTTGAATTTTCTCCCGTCGAATCGAGCGATCCCGATCGGGAATTTCTCCGTGCGATTGCGGCAGAACTTCGCGACGAGGAGGCTGCGGACACGCAGCAACGACCGTCGTCGCTAACGGAATATTATCAATGTCAAGACGCAATCGCGCGGCGAGATCCTTCGGCGGGCGACGAGCGTTCGCGAGAACAATACAATCGCGATCGCAAGGCCGTCTTCGCGAGAAAGGACAGCCCGAAGCCATTTTTACAGAAGAGTCCACTAAGGACTGCAGCAGAGGACCACGCGAGCGCAATGTACCTACCTCTTTGTCCGCTAAACCGACGACGACGAAGACAACAACGACGACGACGACTTCAGCCAACACCTCGCTGCTTGTCCACCCACAGTCCGATGCACTGTCATTTGTGATGCGGATTCACATACGCGTGTCGGCGGTGCCGGTGCTGATGATCGATGTCACAGCAACCTCGCGAGCTGTCGCCGAGCTACGACTGGGAGGGCTAAGAGGAGGTAGAGGAGCTGCTTCTGCCGTTTCACTGGCGAGCACCGTCGATGTTTGATGACAATGACGATGATGATGATGACGAAGCTGATGACAGGAACGGAGAAGGAGCCAACGACATCGAACGCTGCGACGCTGGTGGGCTGCCTCGGCTTCTCCTCGCGTCGAAATGCGTGTTTACACGGCACCGCTCGGCGGCTTCTCACATTCCTCGTTCGCGACGCAATCCTCCTCGTTGTCTCTCTCCCTCCCTCCCCCTCACCTTACGAGACACACCGTTTGCTCTCGTTTCTCGTCTCACGGATACGAAACTCGCGCACCCGAGTTGATGGATCACCTCTTTCTTCTTGACCCGATGCTTCCTCCTCTTCGTCGTATCTCTTTCTCTCTCTCTCTCTCCCTCTCTTTCTTCTTCTCTATCGGGATACCTCGCCCACCCGCGCGATTGCCCTCTCTCTTTCTATCCGTGTCCACCTATCTTCCTCAGAGAGATACACTCGCGCGAGCAGAAAGCGACTTCCGGGCACCTTCCTCCGAGCCGATGACGACGGTGCGTCCGCGCGCGCGACACACTTCCCACTTTTCCTCTCCTCTCCCTCGGCCCGCCGCCGCCTCTCTCGCTCACTTCCACGCACGTTCGCACGTACAACCGCCGAGCGAGCGAGAGCGCGCGCGCGCACCCAACAGCGAGAGAGTGTACGTACTTCTACGTTGACCGTTTTTCCGTTCTCCGTTATTCTCTCTCTCTCTTTCTCTCTCTCTCACACACGCTTCCTCGATCGCGTAACCGCTTTTACGGGCGTAAACGCGCGCACGTATCGCACACGCCGCGACGACTCGTCGTCGCGTGCGACACTCTCAACACTCGCTTCGTCCGGATTCCGTGCCGAAGGCGTACGACGGCGCGAGCGCCCGTGGAGACGACGGGCGAGCACTCGCCGCGACACGGTGACACACGAGAAAGCTGAGGAGACGTACTCGGCGCAGTCGACGCACTCGGGGACGCGCTCCGAACGCCAGCCGGCTCGCTCGACGCCGCCGCTATCTAGCGGTGAGTCGCGTTACCTCGCGGCGCGGTGGCGCGAAATACGAAGTCCCTCGGGCGGGCGCGCGCGATGCCGCGACGATATTCGTCCCGCTTGTAGCAGAATGTCGCGTGGAACGACGATCGCACGAACGAATGGAGCGAATGGACGATGCTCCACGTAGCTTTCGATTCCACGAGATAGATGAAAGCGACCTGCACACCGTCCCCGTTACCATCCGGACTCCCCGTCTCGGTTTCCAGCTTCCTGTTGCGCTGACACTCACCGAGAGGACGTTAGTGCACGGCGAATCCCCCCGAGATCCGCGATTCCCGTGAACCTGACGCGTTTCCGCATTCGCTGCGTGTTTTAAACAGATAGGTGAGATGGACAGGTGTCCCAGGTGAGAGGTGAGCAAGAAGCCGCCACGGTGCGTGGGAAGTGCGCGTCGAGTGTATTGACGTAGCCCGTCCGCGACCCGCGTTGCAGTTCTGTAAGATGCCTCCGCGGAGGAGTCGGTGGCGCCCTCGGTCGGTCAGCTTCCACTTAATGGCATTCGACGGATTCCCGCGTGATGTCGTAAATGTGATATAATACACGGTGAGAATGTCGCGAATGCGTCCGATGCAATCTAAATGTACAACGGAAATGATGTTTCTCCCGAACAGCTATGTGGTGTTTTATGTTAATTAACAATGTACGGATGTGTGAAGAGAAAAGTCGAACCGTACACTGAAGAAAAGTGCTACATTCGAGTGTATAATTGCACCCATAGTTCTGAGCGAAATTTTCACCCGGTCTAAATTTTATTTGGATCGGGGAGTATCACTTAAATGTGACCGAAAAATGTTAAATTGAAGTGAAATTTACGTTAATTTTAGTCCAAGTGAAAAGTTCCGAACTATTGGAGTAATTATTTTCTCGAATAGTACTTTTTTCCAATATGCTTTCACGATTCTTAGTTAACATCGAGCATCAGTTACATCTAAGTTGTAATTTCGCACTCGACAATGTAAATGCAACATAATATTGATGTTATAACATAGATGCAGGGTTGGGAAAGTGACTTTTGAAAAGTAACTTGTTATCTATCGAAAAAAAAAAGTAACTCGTTACCGTTATCTTTATTTAAGAAGTAACGAGTCGTTACAATTTCATCACGTTTTGAGGACCTTTTCTAAAATTCGAAAAATAACGCAGATAAAATTGGCAAAATAACTGTAAAATGTACTGTTATTATTATTAATGGGAAAATATAACGTTATTATCAAATCGTTACTGAAAAAGGTAACTGTAATAGTAACAACGTTACTAACGTGTTACTTCCTAGCCCTGCATAGGTGTAATATAATTGATGTTCATCCAAACAACATAATACCTAAAATCATAAGACATAAGACATCTTTAAGATGTCTAACTCGGCATCTACAATGAGACTATAAAGCATAAGACTTCAGTTTTAATCCTTTCGTACCGAATGGTACACATATGTACCACCAATGTTTCGAAACACTCGAAAGATAAATTACGCCATTTGACTAAATTAACAAAATTATATCTAATATTTTATCATGAGGAGATTGCTCATATTCAGGGACGAAAGGGTTGAACTTTGAGCGATGAGAAATTCACCGATCACAATCACAATTATTCTTCTCACATTCGACAGCGATTGGCCAACTTCTTACAGCTTAAAGCTTAAATCTTACGCCTTAGATTCTCATCGTAGACACCGCTTTAAAGATATATCAGTAGGACGTCTCATGTCTCGACTTTGGATGTTATATTGTCTAGGCGGTGTCGACTGGCTTGTTCACAGAAATAAAAACGTCTCGCGTGATTAATTCACCAGACTATAGAAATTCCGCGATGAATGTTTCGTACGATGAGCTGTCCGTTGAAAAACGTCCAAGGGATGCGACGATGATCGGCGCTTCGCAGCGAGGTGAGGCTGGTTACCGGCGAACTTCGCGCGAATTCGTAGAATCGTCTCTCGCGATCACAGTCGCGAAGACGGAACGGGGGGAGAGAAGCCGGTGAGCGTAGCTTCGAGCTCACACGGAGCGGACCCGGATCCGTCACTGACGGATCGGCTCCGGGTTCAGGCGCGTCGACGACGCGCGGTGACGCGGTGCGCGCCTTCAGGAAGAGTCGGTGCGCGGGCAAGCCGGCAAGGCGCCAAAAGACCAGCTCTCTCGCCAGCCGCGCTTTCCGGTCCGCGTTTTATAAATACTGCAGACAGAGCAAACACAGTGCACCGAACACGGCAGACCCGTCTCTGCGGGATCACGGCAGGGTGTTGTGCGCGGTGTCGTGGCCGAGGTGCCGAGAGTTATCGGCTGGATCGTCCCACGTGGATTCTCCAGGTCCGCGTCTCGCCGACGGACTCCCTCTTCGGGTGTCCTCCGCCTCCCTGTGACGCGTGCCGTCGTCTCTCGGGACTTCTTCGTGGTGGACTCTCGCGTGTGGTGCATGGTGTTTCGCGAATTTACATCAGCGGCGGACGGCGCTTACATAAATAACGACACACCGACTCGAGCTCCGTCTATCGTAAGTTCGCGTTCGTCGGATTCGCCGAGTGAAATGCATTTAACGTGATTCGCGATCTCTTCTTTATGGAAAATTATATCTCGGTGTTCGCCGAGTACAACGAACCTGGCACGATTGTCTTCACGGGCATCTCGCGACGTCGAGGGTTTCTCTCTCGAGGAGATTGAATAAAATCAATCCGATTAAGCTCCGTCCGATCCGAGGAATCTTACGTCTTGATGCATCTTTAAAGGGATCAAGTAACGGGCACTCGCCGCTTCGGATCTTGCACCGTAATTGTCAGATATAGTCGGGAATAGTTCTCTCGACGTATATATATCGCCGCGGAAAGGTGCAGAAAGACGCGCACGCGTGTACGCTTCCGCGGTGCCGCTTCCTCGAGAGGAGCGGCGCGAGTAAAAAAGTTCACACAGAGTCGGAGAGATATCTTTTTAACAAATTGTTTAACAAATTCTCAAGTGTTGCAACGCGCTTCTGCGTCAACAGCACGCGCAATCCATGTCCGCTTTCCAATTGCTAGAGAAGTTCATCTTGTATCTACTGTCGATGGTGCAATTTGCCAAAATAATATGTATACGGCGTGCATTTCTGCTAAGATTCGCGATGTCTCTCTCTCTCTCTCTCTCTCTTTTTTGTTTCCAGGATCGTTTGAGGATCGTTGATCTCTCTATCAGTAATCATAACTTTGATTATCTTGGATATTCTTTTTCCCAAAACGCCGAATAAATAATGCCTTCTCTCTCTTTCTCTCTCTCTTTTGCTTCTACCATGAGGATCTCTCTATCAGTGACTAGCTTTGATATATTATCTTAAATAACTCAGTACATACTTTCGTCAGAATTATTAATTTCAGTTATGTTCATCAATTGCATTCTTTCAAAATGCATTTTAGTTCCTAATCTATCAATTGTTGTTACACTTGAAGGGAATTTTCCTGTTCCCAAAGCGCCGAATAAATAATGCCTTCTCTCTCTCTCTCTCTCTCTCTCGCTCTCTCTCTCTCTCTCTCTCTCTCTCTCTCTCTCACTAACTCTCGCCCCGAATCTTGCGCAACAATTGTACCCGGCACAAAAATACTAGCCGGCGACCGGCTGCGCTCGTCGCGTGCGAAACCGCAACTTCATTCCGCTCGTTAACGATTCCTCGGTCGCGCGCGAACGGGAATATTATTTCGTTAGATCGTCTTCTCATGACGCGATATAACTGTCTAGATTTATTTCGATCGCCGTTCCACTTCTCGGCCGAGCCTTCGCCGAACGTCATCACAACGCCGGAATCCAATTCATCTTGTTTGTCGTGCACGTGCGTCGTCGTGGCGTCCAATTCGCGCGACGTGGGTTCATCACGGATGCGTCGTCGCGCGGGGTTCTTGCAAATCCGTCGATTTTGTAAAAAGCCGTGTTTCCCGGAACACCTCTGAGCCGGCACGTCGACGCTTTTCATTCCGTTTAAAACGTTTTGCAGAGTCGCACGCTTCCAGTCGCGCTTGGAGGGAGAGGGAAAGAGAGAGAGAGAGAGGGAGGGAGAGAGTGGAAGCGCTTGGGCTTTTCTCGGAAGCGGACGATGACCGATGATGTTGCGAAATTCGCGGCCAGCGAGAGACTGAGTGTAATAACCAACGGCGATTGATCGATCGGCGATCGGTGAGAGGCCTATTCTCTCGGCTTACTACTCGAGTGAGATAGAAAAAAAGCGTCACGGATCATCGAGATGAGCGGGATGAAGAAGGCGATCGGCGGGTCCATTCACAGGATACGGGAGTTCGAGCTTGAGAAGGTAATGAGCTTTCTTTCCCGCCATCACTATCCCCACCGCCGCCGCTGCAGCCGCCGCAATCGGATTTTCCTTTGTGCCTGCGGCGATTTCCCCGAGGTCTCACGGCGCTCCTCTCCTCGCGAATGAAACTAAACAACCGACGGCCGCCGGCAGCCGTTTCCGTTTTCCAGCCTCGAGACATTGAGAGCCCGAAATAGTATTCGCGAACGAGGCAGCATTTCATTATACTCGCTCGACTAACGGCCATTCTCCCGCCTGGCAATGCACCAATGTTTCCCTAACGGTGGATCTGTGACGACTGCATTCGCGACCGTGACTCGTTCGTACACCAATCGCTTCGTGATACACCATTTAACACGGAATCGGGCTCACCGAGTTCCGTCGCTTGATTCGCTTCGAATAACACGGGCGTACGCATAATTAAGCAGACATTTCCTCTCACTGAGGCTGTCATAATATTAATAAACGTTCTGTTTATTAACTCGCGACAGCTTATTTATACTTGCGTCGTGTCAATTAGGAATTTCCCATCGTATTAAGTATCAACGAGAAAAGAACTTTCAACGAGACGTTGCGCGTTTGTTCTCTCCGTCGCATTTCGCGAAAATGACACGTTCTATCACACGTTCCTTGCCAATTGGGTTTTTCCGAGAGAGGACTCGCGAAACTCGTCTACCGGGTCAAAGGACTCCGAGTTCCGATGAGATCTAAGATGAGATTGAGGGGACGATATTTATTTATTTATTTTCTACTTCGTCTTTTTAACGAGAACATGCATTTCTTTACACAACGCAGTAACGATATAGGAGCAATATATATTTGCCAAAAGGCAGAATGTATAAGAAAATATAATACAAGAAAAGAGAAAAGGAAGAAGAAACAGTAATAAAGAAGTAATGGAAAGATGAAGACAGGCTATGCAGACCTATTTAAATGCTTAACGGATTTCAATGTGGACAATTCTTTGCAAAAATATTTCTCCGTTTTTCATTCTAATAGCTTCTTATTATTTCAACCCGTTCTGTCATTTTTATGCTCGTTTCTTGCACTCGGGCACGCGCAGTTTATTAAATGAATGAATATAACGAATACACGCGAATATTCACGAATATTTTTGAGAAGATTACTCGTCTTCAATTACTCATATTCCAGCTGATAAACAAGAGCACGTTCCTTTTTTACTCAATTTCGTTTCAATTCGGAAAGAAGCGCGTTGAAGAGTCGTGCATTTATTTGTGCTATTTCAAAATATATATAATATATAGCGTGAGTGTTCGTAAGTAATAAACAAGTATTTTATACTTGTAGTTGAATGTACGTTTACACAATTCAAATTCATATAACATTATATGCGTTTATTACTTTAATACTGAATAGTACGTTAATACCATTCGGGTATATCGCATGCAATCCGCTATAGCCGCTCGTTATTATGGAAAAGTGTTCCTTTCCGATTTAAAAACAGGTTCGCATTCATTCAGTCGAATGTTCTATTCAAACTTACACTTTTCGCGGATTAAAAACAGTGAAATTTTTGTAAGGGATGACATGTCAAATATATGTCCACTAAGTTATAAGTATATTTCCAAGTATAATAATAATAATAATAATAATAATAATAATAATAATAATAATACTTTACTGGATGCTATATAATAATAATACTCTATTGAATCTATTAAATAGTTAAAATTTGCCAAAATAAGCTCGATGTCTTTCCACATAAAAAGACAAACACGTTCTAAGCGACCGATTGGGAATATTAAACCAAACTAAATTTAGTTTACCAGGAAAGACACAATTATACTCCTGAAAATCCTGAAAAGGGACAATAGATTAGCAAGTATCCTTCTGTCATACAGTGTTACGTAGACGATAATCTCAGCTCAAGTAATATTGGCCTATAATCAATATACGAGCAGAAGGAATTCGTCGCCGTGCGCCCCTCGGTCTCGTATCGGGATCAAAACGCGTACGAAGCGTGCGTCGGCGTAAAAATAGACGTTGCGTGGAGATCGGCATCGGGCGGCGTCTCACGCTTGTACTCGGCGTACCGCGGATAACGCACCGTCGCACGCTCGCGCGTGAGTTTTCCTTCAGAGTCGCGCCTCGCTGCGTGACAAGGCGCGTGTTCTCGACAGACAGCTTCCTCATCTCCGAAAGTTCGCGTCCCGAAGTTATCTCGACGGCATTCTCTCCATCTCTCTCTCTCTCTCTCTCTTTCGAGTTCCCGTCGCGATCCGAGAGAGCAAGGCGCAACGACTGCGCGGCCTCATTATCGGCGATTCGTCCGCTCGGCGAGACGGACGTCGATCACAGCGCGGCGTCATGCACGGCACCGCGCGGAACAGTAACTGTTTCCTGGCGCAGGTGAACCTGATCGACGAGTTCGACATCCTGCAGATCGTCGGCGAGGGATGGTTCGGCAAAATCCTGCTGACCGAGCACCGTAGCACGCAGACCGAGATGGTGCTGAAGGCGTTGCCGAAGGCCTACACCGGCATCTCGGATTTCTTTCGGGAGTTCCATTATGGCTTACATCTGGCGGCTCACAGAAACATCATAACCACTTACGACGTGGCTTTCGAGACGGCCGGCTTCTACGTTTTTAGCCAGGAATACGCCCCGCTCGGTGAGAGAATCTTTACGAGATCGCGCGCACACGTGTTGGCCACTTCTTGTGGACCCTTTTTCCCTGCTTCTTCCGCTTGTTTTACTTCTTCTTCTTCTTCTTCGGTCATCTGATTCATCAAATCCAGTGTGCCACTAACTCTCTAATAGTAAAGCGTGGTCAGATTCACCCCACGGTTTCGTTTATTTTACAGCGTGCACGCGCTGTTTCTCTTTTTAAGGAATGTTTCATGTTATTATTTACTTCTTTTCTCCATTTTGTATATATTAGCCGTGAAATATGAGCAATGAGCAAAATGAAAAATAAACAAAGCAAAGCATGGAATCAGACCCCATCTTCCACTGCCATTGGAGTTTAACACACTCGTTAGAGCGACTCAAATTGCCGAGCCACTCGAGAGACAATTCACGAGCTATTCGAAGGCACGATGCAGTCTCTCGCTCGGTATTCGTCACGAGACGCTCGTGGAAACGCTCTCGTAGCATTTTATTATTGTCGCTCGCGAGTTCTTCAGTTGTTCGCGTTACCGTCGATTTTCAGGCGACCTCACGTCGAACGTGACAGAGACGGGGTTGGGCGAGCTGCACGCGAAGAGGGTGGCCAGGCAACTCGCCGCAGCGGTGCACCATATACACAGCCGCGAGCTAGTGCATCGCGACATCAAGCTCGACAACATACTCGTGTTCCGGAGCGATTTTTCGCGAATCAAGCTCTGTGACTTCGGCGAGACCAGACGGGTCAATACCGTGGTGCGAAGGCACAACGAGTGGCTGCCGTACTCGCCGCCCGAGGTACTGCAGATCGACACTGACGAGACGTACAAGTAATTATTTATACGCTGTGATTGACCATTAAGTATCGCTTCGTCGCGATTAGAATGTTGGGGGAAAAGAATCGAGGAATACGGGGAAGCAGAGTAAAATCAAGCGGATCAAGCGGATCTGTTCGATTGTTTCTTTTTTTTTAAGTGTTTATTTTAAGGAGATGCCATATTTTTTGGAAACTTCACCGACAAAATATTGAGTTTTTCTTCAGAGTTTATGTCTTACTGATTGCACGGAATTCGAAATGTTTCTACGTAATGAAAGTACGTGCGAAAATGTATCAGAGCCATTGTCCGATATGTAAGGAAACCCAGTAAACATCGAGTATCAGTAACATCGATGTTTAATATTTGATATAATAATGTAGTTGTTACAACACGCGTACACACACGTGTAATATAACGGTTACATTATTGTGCCGGACATTAAACATCGATGTTATGTTATTGATACTTAGTGTTTACTGGGAAACGATTAAACATTTCAAAACTGAAATTTCGGCCCGTCAGGTAAATATTTACTTAAAATAAAAATTTCGCAACTTGTACATATCGTGTGTATATTTGCTCCGACGAGAAATAAACTCAAACAACATTTTTGTACCTTTACAATTGCGCATAAAGGCTTAAAGAGATACAAAGAGTTTGCAGAAAAAATTTTATACAACTTGGCCGAATTTTCTGTTAGATATGGTAAAACGGAATAACGTACATTAATTTTATTCACATTTATATCGCACTAACATTTACGTAAGATCTATATGCATAAGGAATACAAACAGAATAGCGTAATCGTGTCAGTGTTTATGTAACATAACATTTCGAGGTTCGCTTCTACATTATCGACGCTTATCAGTTCGTCGTTCTAGCATCCCCTAAAGAGTGAATATATTTTTAAAGACTGTACACCGCGAGAAGAGAAAACACAAATATACCTGGCATACCTTATCTGAAAGCGATAACAGCTCGTCGTTTCACCCGTACTTCTGTTTCTCACGAGATCAAATGAGCATCCGATTTTACTCCGTCTTTCCCCCGCATCTTCGTGCCGCCTTCGTAGTCTTTTTTTTTTTAACACCCTGTACGCACAAGCGAGATTTGGTCGGTTGTCAAGTCCGAGCGCAATGGATCTCTCGTGCGTCGTAATGAATGATACCTACGTACAGATCTGCCACGGCCACCAGAGGTATACATTCTAACGGCGACTTTCAGAGCTCGCACGTCGCACGACGTCTGGCAATTCGGCATTGTCCTATTTGTCTGCTTGACCGGGTGCCTGCCATGGCAGAAGGCGGCGTCGGACGACCCGCGGTACACCAGATATCAAAACTGGCACAACGCGACGTTGAACATCGCCAAGAAACCGAAATTATTTCAGCTGATCAGCTCGCGGGCGCAGAGGTGGGTATCCACTTGGATGCGAGCTTGCGAATTAAGCGCCGCGTCAGCGTGCATTCCAAATACGTCTAATTCAATATTTTTGGCCGCTGCTCGTTTGCTCGCGTTAAAACAATTTCTTTTTGATCGATGTCACATCTAATTCGCATTTCTAGCTTCGCGCAATTTACAGCATTTCTTATCGAAAAAGGAAACAAACGGGATCTCTGTTCAGCATTCACCACGGTGTCTGGAAATTTCGCTGGTTTCGTCTAGATAAAGAGCAATTTCGGAGGAATTAACACGGGAAAAAGAACAAGCTCTCGCAGCTAAAAACTAGCTATCTCTACAATACAAATGAAATTTAATTACCAAATTTAACTTCTTGCTGTGGGAGCTAATTCTGTTTTTCCGTGTTCGCATGTATGGTCATCAAAAGTAGCTCCCACAGCTAAAAACCAGGTCTGGTAACTAAACAAACGAAACCGGTAACTAAATTTCGATTATACGAATAACTAATTCTCAACTGTGGAAGTGAATTTTTGTTTTCCCGTGAAAATATGCAAAGGCGACAGGCGAAAAATCAATTACGTTCCATTCCGTTTTTTTTCTCTTTTCCGCTTTTCTCAAAGAATGTTTAAGAGGCTGCTGGACCCGAAGGCTGATAAGCGACCCGTCAGCGTATTGGAGGCGAATAAATACTTAGAGGACAGATGGCTGGCGAAACTCGGGGCCGAGAAAGCTTTGAACGGTGGGTTGGCTGTCGCGCGATATTGCCGCTCCGATACCGCGTTGTATGTCGCAATTTCTCAACGGCTCTCCTTTTTATACCCGCAGGCGGCGCCGACGAGCGGGACGAGCTCTGTCCCTCCATGTACAGCTTCCACAGTTCCTTGGAGGAGAAGAATCAACTCCTCCACACGCTCACCACGTACGGCATCGAGACAACGGTGGACCGATCGAAGAAGAGAGATCGCATCAGGGAGTGGGTGCAGTCGAGCGCGATCGCCGAACAGAACGAGGAGGACGAGTCCGACATGTACGAGGACTCGGAGTTCTACGAAGAGGAGGACCGGGACGTCGACGGGAACGAGAGCGAAGAGGCCGAGCCGGTACCGATGAGGGGCAGACATTTCCCAGAAAGGCGTCCGAGCGCGGCGAAGAACGATCCCCGAAAGAGAAGGACTATTAGGGCCACCCCGGCCCCGTCGAAAAGCAGAGTGCCCACGAAGCCGCTCGAAAGGAAGATCCCCTTCGCACCCCAGGTGGCCGAAGAGCGCGAAACGATCGCGCGGTTCGCCAGTTTCCCGAACGGCGACCCGAGCTTGGCCGCGAGGAACGGCAACAATCAGACTCGCGAGCGCACGGCCACGTCGCCGAGTGCGCCCTCCGACGCGCCATCGACGACGTCGAGTCACCTGTACGCGAATAATATCCCATCCTCCGCGCCTAGCGCCAACGGCCGAAGCGTCAGGGATCCCGCGAGGGACAACGCGACGAGCCCTCCAATCGCCGACCAATCCCCGGTCACTGCATCGAGTACTTTCCCGAGCAAGCCATCGCCGCCGAAGAGCACGACGAGTTCACCGGGAAACGACCTGGCCGCAGCCAGGATCTTGCCGACGAGTCCGCAGATCCCGGCCCGCAAGAATCGCGCTCACACCGCGCCGTTTTCCGACGCGACGACCGCGCGATCCTCCGACGCGGACTCGACGCGGCGAGCGCAGTCGGCGGCGATCCTGCGGCCCGTGGAAGCGGACGAGTCGTTGCCACCCCGATCGACGAAGACGCCGGTAACGTCGCCGTATCCGAGACGGCCGGACAATCTCGACACGTCGCGAACGGCGAGGTCGGCTTTGCCAGCTCGAGCTGTCGCCGCGCCGATGACAAGCCCGGTCGAGACTCCGCCGAATAACAGCGTCCCCCCCGGCCGAGTGGAGGGCACACCGCCGATGGCCGTGCAAATCCCGACACCGGCGAACACGCTCTCCATGTCGACCGCCTCGTACCTGGTGATGCAGAGCTTCAACACTCTGCAGGGCATCGCGAGCGGCACGCCGACCACTCCGCCGACGAACGCGAGCCCAATGAAGCTCGGGCACGAAGGGGTGACCGTGAGCTACGGCAAAGACGCATACGCGCACTACGGCATCGCTCACGGAGCGATCCTGCCGATGAGGGTGGACGTCGTCAGGCAGGACTCCACCGGCAGCGGCAGTCGATCTGTGAGCAACTGAAGGGCACGAGGAACGCGGAGGATTGTTCTCGAGACCGACGGTAGCTGGAGCTTCGCGCGAGCTACTCCAGCCGGCGAGCAGCGTCCTTGGAGCGTATATCCGGATTTGGGGATCTATGAAGTACCCTCTGAAAAGGTACAACGGGTCACGACGGCTGGGAGTCGACCGAGGCAGCCGGAGCAACGAGTCGAGTACGTACACATCGCCATTCGCGATATTTTCCGTTTCAACGACGTCGGCAGCGGATCACTGGAGGAATCACTAGGGGGGTTTTTCCGCCCCGACGTCCGCGTCGACGTGAAACGTCGGCTGGTCCGTTCGGCGGCACCGCGGTTGATTATTTTCAAGGGACACTTATATCGCCACGTGTTGCTCGCTCCACCAAGCACAACGAGATAAAATTAGCGCGGCGCCTCGCAAGAGTTGCAGCATGCGAGACCGTCCCCGACGGCGGTTAGCTGCGGCCGTTATCGACCGTGGGACGAGAATTCTTATTGTTTTCAGCGTGACGCGAGACTCGGACATTTTAATACGATTCCCCGTTGACTTTCGCGTCGGGCGTCTTTCGCTGCGAGTAACGCAGGGAAGATATAACGCGCGAGAGAACGCGACGCGACTCAGACAGACGTGCCTTGTGATATATTAAGGTAGTTGTGCTCGCGACAATACCATCGGAAAGTTCCGTCGCACGACGCGAAAGAGGAGTCGAGTAATTTAGGTGTGTGATGTGTATAAATATCGGCACGCGTTTTAAACGTCTATCGTGCTGATATACTTTATTAACTCTCAAATGGCCAATCTCTTTTCAATTGCGCAAATGACGAAAAATCGGATCAATGGTAAAGCTCGTTCCGTTTTTTGATCAAAATCAAAATGAATGTATATAACATTTATTCACTTTAAAATACAATCAATCATATAAATAAGCGCGATCTTGTTCGATTATCCGCCATCGTCTCTCCGATAGCTGCATGATTCCGCGAATTCCGTGGAAGTTCTGGGATTTCTGAGCGAAGAACCGACCGAACAACGGGACGAGCTCTCGCATCTGATAATATTTTAATTGATACGCAGCCGAAGTTATACAGCGTGGATTCCCGGGAAATTTATTTCACGAGGCGACTACCTTCTTACTATCACGCTCCTTCTCTCTGTTTCGACTCGGTCAATACGAGCTCTGCCAACATTTTGAGAGAATGTGATATACATATACAAGTAAACGTAAACATAAGGCGATGATTTGCACGTTAGTGTAAAATGTCAAAGACACGTCACCTTTGAGAGATAATGCTTGTTGCTTGAACGTGTTATTTATTTTTCTTATTGAAACGGTTGCTACGCGCGATGAATTGTATCGCGGCTTCGCTCGTCGCATTGACGCAATTCCGAAAACGACGAAGCGGAACGTATCGCCCGACGATATTTGTCTCCGGCGGCAATCGTGCTTTCCACGGGGAGGCGGAGCGTTTGAATAAATCATACGATATCATATCAGACGTACGCGCTCTCGTCGCCGACACGCACATGCACGTACAGCGAATAGCATATTGTCCGCGTCAGCTACTCGCACGTCGCCACGGACCGTTCGCACAAATAGCCATATTTCACTCTTCCTGCCACTTTCGAGGCGGGATAACAAAGGGAAACGATCGATCCGATAAGTACACGCGCGAATGACTCTCTCACGCGAGCAGGATAAAGATCGTTTGTTATAATCGCCGATACTCTCTCTCTCTCTTTCTCTCTCTTGCCGGCGGTGCTGGCATGTCAGGGTTAATGTGCAGGCACACCGGCGTCGTTAATTAGTCATTCGAGGTGTTCGGTATTGCCTGATTTACGAGCGACGCGAGAGCCTGACTTAGATAAGCTTCCTTCGGCGGCGAGTTTAAACTCCGACGTCGCGGTGAGACGTCGCGACTATTAGCGTCGCACGAGGAGCAAGGACGACGCGGCGACGACGATGAGAGCGGGACGAGGCAGCGGGCCGGAGACCCGACGAGGGTGCGCGCGTGTTTGGCGATGTGGAAATAATTTCTGGGTGGGTCGTGGCACGAATTAATTAAGAGATACGTAAGTAGCGCATATTGCGCAGGAGACGCAATTACCGCCGTCTTTGACGCCGCGAGAAACGCGGCAACGTGCGAAAGATACGGGGGAGGGCCGCGAAGGTAGTTTGTTGTTTATCGTCGGGACTAACTGGCGAAATATTACGACGCGACCGGGCGTCGCGAAAACTTCTACGACACGCGCGTTAATTAGTGTTTAAGTCGATGTTACTGCGTGGGCGGTGATAAGTCCGCTAATTTACTCGATTTTGGATCGCCCGGGCGCGAGCACGTTATCGCCATCGATTCGTTCATACGGAGATTTTACTCGTCAGCTCGATATCAGCTTGATTAAGTGCCGGATTTTTATATCGCTGTGCGGGTACTGATAGTGGGTATCGGTATTGGGTTACACAAAGTCGAACAACTCATCATTCAAAATCACCCTGGCACTGTTTGGAAAAAGCGAAAACCGCCGTACGAAATTTTTTCACCGAGTCACGCGCCAAATCTCGCTTCGCACGATAAAAACTTCCAATATTCTTTTTATTTTGTAAATATACAGGGTTGTGTAAATATACAGGGTGGGGCAAAAACGGGCGATTTAAAAAATCTGTTTACTCCATTATTATTAGAGCAAGTTAATTAGGTTAGGTTAATGAATATGCACGTTAACTTGTCGACAATGCTATTCCATTTAATTATAATGGAGCGTTTTTTGCACAGAGAGAAAAAACTTTCTTTGGATTTAATAAAATTTCTTTGATTGTAACAAATTTGTCTTTTGGAAAAGAGCAAACAAACGGATGTTTAATTCAACAAACAGGACTAATTTCTCGAATAATAATAAGTATTTTTATATCATGATAACACATTTCTTTCGTATTTTTATTACAAAAGTTATAGTCACAAGCAATTATTCGAAAGAGGTAACGTTATATTAGAAAAATATTAAAGGGAACTTGATTTTAGTGAAACAATATTTCATATGTAACGAAATAAATTTTTTTATTGAAAACGAAATATTATTTCCTCTAAATAATACTGTTTTTATATCAAACAGGATGGTTTATCTGAATGAAACATTTTCATTCAAACAAAATATTTGTAATATCGGTTTTATAATGTTTTAACATTTTCTATTTCCCACACGCATGCAGTTGCGTACGTAGATTTTATATACAAGTATATGGGGCCTACAGTTTAATGCCGATTCCGAACGGTAGTTTTACGAAAAATTTGATATTAAATTATACGTTGTTTACATTAAACAAATCCAAGTGAAACGAAGTGAACTAAATTCCAAAAAATCTCTGCAACGGGAGATAGAATTTCACACGTTCATAAATAGCTTTTTAAAATCGTCCGTTTCTTTGTCCCACCCTGTATAATCTGGGATTTTTATGTAGCGATATATCGGGTATGCGCCACCACGTGTCGTAACAGTACGCGTGAACGCGTGTTATGACGAGAGCACACGCGAGCAGCATAAACTCGTAGCGCGCGATATGCCGAGGAAAATGGTCTTTGTCTCACCTTCGTGTGCCAGTTTTTCGTCGAGATACAGCAGTTCGAAAATTTGCGGAGTGTGATCCTTTGCCGGCGACGCGACGAATGCGCGCGAAGCACATAGTAGTCGCGTCCGCACTGCGACTTCACACCTCCGGGCTTCTCCGAGCGACGGTGCGTACCGCTAACGTGAGCGGCACGCAACATTGTCGCGAACCGCAGTCCTCATCAGAGAGATTCGCCGCTTGTCGATATTTCCATTTTGAAAAGTCGCAGCGACGTCGAATAAAATGTGTTGGGAAGCTTAAATTGTCCCGCATCCGACGAGAGAACGGTCGTTTCTCCAAATCGTCGTTTAATTTTGTGCTTTTGGCCTGAAGACAAATCGACGACTGAAAGCTCGATTTTCATTCTGACTTGAGCGAATCGGAAAAAGACGAAAAGAACAAGTCGCATCGTATACGACATAATGATGATTACGGACGACGTAATCTCTCGTTTATAATAGCGTAAGAGTGAATTGTAATTTAATTTTTATAAGCTGTTCCAGTTTACGTTTTCGTTATATGCTTCGACTGTATCAATATTTATACGAAGACTTATTATACGTCTCAGTTTATTGTTTTGTTTGGAACGGGAAAGCCTCCGACTGCGATGGCGGATTTACCTCATTCACACCAATTGCCTAGCGCCGTGCGTATCGCCGTGAAAAAACAAAAGATCACTCTGAAACATTACGAATCGCGCGAGTGTCGATAATTGCTCGCAATTGAATGACCGATTTTTAATAAAGGATTCGTCGAAAATCGACAGCCATGCATCGGCCAAGCGCTGTTGTTGCGTTCCTATACAGGCGTCCTCGTGGCATCAACCCCTGATCAATCGATTATATCTCGATGTAACGTGCTTTCCGCGAGATACTCGCGCAAGCATTGTTGATTATATCGTTAATAAGTTAATACTGATTGAAGTTAATTAGCACTGGTGCTAATGTAAATTAATTAGTAGCGGCTGCCAACGGTAAATTATCGATTTCCTACAAGTATTACGCAGAGTAGAGGCAGATTCGGCGCGTGCTGTTACGCTGTTGTCCCGACGGAAGCAATCTTGGAGCCGCGCGAGGAGGGCAATACGTACCGGAGCGCGCGAAGCTAGTCGAATATAATTATTGACCGTACCTCCCCCACCGTGTCCGCTCATAGAACGCAGTCGCATCGGTTGTCCTTGATCTGTGTAGTAGAAACGCGTAGTGGACGCAGCTGGCCAAAAACTGTCGCTTTGCGAGCGTCACGCTCGACACCTTTCGCCGTCCGCCAGTCCGCTCCCAAAAGCCGCGCGGATGAAAATTGATGAAACCACAATTGGTGTTAATGGCGTACCACAACTTCCCCTCGTTGCTGGTGCCGTCCAGCAACCTTCTGCATCCTCGTTACGTTGCTTTCGGCGTGTCTATTTCGGGATCCGATCGGATTCGGTCCGGGGAATCTACGCGCGCCCGCGATCTACACGAGAAGAACGTACGAAATTGTAAGCGCTAACGATGTTGTTACAGTAAATAAAACGAACTCCTCACGGATTGCTTTGTGTGATGTTATTTTCCCTCGCCGAGGAGACGATTCTCCTCGTGAGTGATTCTCGGCTCGAGAGACGCACGGAAAAAAGAATGAGCCCCCACAGCTAAAAATTTACTGTCCATGTAATACAGATGAAATTTTGTTAATTTAGCTCATTGTTTCGTCCCTGTGCTTAGTTTTCAGCTCCCGTAGCTCTGGTAAGTAGTCTGGTAATTAAATTTCAGTTGTATTGCGTGGACAGTTTATTCCCTTTTCCCGCGCGAGCGGACGAAATGAAAAAAGGAAAAGCCGCGTCCGCTATTTCCGAATCATCCACTTTGCTGCCCCGGCGACTTTAATTGGTCTACGTAACGCGAGCTATTATCGTACGTATGGCCGTTTAGACATTATTACTTCGGGATATTAAAAACTCCCGCCCGTTGAAGTACTTCAGACGAGCGTTTCGCGGATGAATGATCAAGGATTGATAATAACGGGCGTGCTTCGCGCTAAAAATGCGAATACGAGCCATAAATAAAAGAATTCGACGCGCGGTCGGCGTGGCATACGTCTTCGTCCTATCAATGTTACGCCTTTTGCTTCTCTTCGGCCGTCGTGCGCACTCGACGAAGCTGCTCTTCGTCGCGCTGCGACATATCGGGTGAAATAAGGAGGCTGGCGTGTTGTTAAGAATCCATTATAAGTCGACGCTACATCTTTAATGAGTACAGGCGGTCGTACGTGCAATAATTGCTGGGTACCTACGGACGACGAGTATGTCATGGTCGGAAATGAACCCACACTGTGATTACGTTCGCACGGGAACACGCTCGTACGGACAAAGTCGCGGCTTCGAAGGGGGAAGAACCTTTCCCGTTGAGGAGAGAGAGCGCGCTCGGCCGGTCGCGTTTTTTTCGCGCGCGGGGAATGCGCGTATTCGAACGCACTGCAACGTCACCCGACACGTGGGACGTGACGAGCGAGCGTATTAATCGTTTATGGAGCGTGCAAATGCAACCGCCCGTCCTTTCCCGCTGTCGCCCGCGCTGACCTCCGCGCTCGTCGTCGTCGTCGTCGTCCTTGTCGCTGCTCGAAATCGGATCAAATCGAATGCAATCATCGCGCACCAATTGCACGCGGTTACGAGCGCGCAGGGCTGCCGTCGCCGATTCGAGACGCGACGCGCTGTTCAATTTGTCGTCGTTCTACCGTTCCACGATTCGCGCGGCCGCGCGAGGCCTGAAATCAAACGCGCTCTTGAGATCTCAGCGAAGTTGATATTATTCTTTCAAGTTAAACCAAAAAATTAGCAGAGTTCTGTTTACCTCCTAAAGAACTCTAAGGTTCTTTGTCGATTTTAGATAAAATTCCGTCGGTTAAAGTGGTCGAAATATCACACGAAAGCACGACTAAATTCACAATTGTATAATTTCAATGTGCTATAATTTTTTGCCTCAAATTTCAATTTCCGATCCTTAAGGATAATCGATAAAACTCTTCGGGGCTATCGGAATTTTCAACGGAACATCAAATTCCGGAAACAATGTCGCCCTGTGGGAAAATTCCAGATGAAACTTTAAATCGTTGCTACTTCCAGATGAAACTTTAAATCGCTGCAACTTCTCGGTTTTTGAACCTACCGCGTCTTAAAATGGACAAATCGACAAATAAATAAGTAGACAATCGACCTCAATGCGTTAATTTAAAGAAAACGCGCTCTTGAGTTTCCATGAGGATAAAACAAGTTATAACGACTTATAAGACATTTTTTAAGTGGCGGTGAAACTTTCTTCGGAATTTTGGCATTTCGTTGAGAGTTCTGACAGCCCTCCGAAGAATTCTATCAATTATTTTTCAGAATCGATGCTCTAAAAATTAAGATAAAAAACTTACGATATTTTATAGTTACACCATTGTGAAATTATCCCCCTCCCATTATCTTCATCTGGTCTTTCGACTGCTTTAATCGACGAAACTTTTTCTAAAATCGATTAAGGACTTTAGAACTCTTCAGGGGGCACCGGAACTGTGCTCATTTTTTTCAATTTCTGAGAAAGTGGGGTCAACTTCACAGAGATGCTTTCGAGAATAGTATTAACGCGCGGCGACAGGAAAATCGAAAGCGAGCGCGAGCTTCGAGACGATAACAAGCCGGAACATCGCGCGTCGATCATTATAATTGTCGTAAAACAGACTCGTCGAGCGGACAATGAGCGTACATTTTTACGATTCGCGCGATAATAAAATATATTGACAATACGAAGCGACCAGTGTTCATATTCACGGGGAGAGGAGAAGGGGGGGGGGGGNGTATATCGCTCGTCGCTCTCGTCTTTTCCTCTTCGTCCGTCGCTCGTTTCCTGCCCCGAGCTGACAACCGGGTGTCGGATTACCGTCTTCCATTTCTACGTAGGTGTTCGAAGGGCTGAATTAATCCCAGACGACTCTCGAAGCTAAGTCACCGAAGCTGAGTCGCAGCCTCGGAGAGCAGCAGCGACAGGACGGACCGCGACGCCGGGGAACAGCGATCCTGATCAAAGTGTTCCCGTGTGAATACGGGTTGTAATGGGCTCGCCTCTCAGCCGCAGCTCGCTCTTTGATCGAACACACCTGGTGATTATAACACCTGTAATCATGAAAGATGTATACACGGCGAGTATCGACTGACGCGACGGCGTCTGGCGTGGCGCAGTGCTCGTGTTCATATTTACTTAATCGTCGTCCCGTTCGAGAGAACTAAATCCGCGTTTCTCGGGTACTCTCCCTCCCTCTCCCTCTCTCTCTCTTTCTTTCTTTCTCTGAACGAAAGAAGGAAGCCGGAGAAAAGGGTCGCCGCAAATTCGCCTCCCGTTCACGGCGCCGACCGGCCGCGACGTTACGCCGGCCGGGAACGTCTCCATGAGCGAACGGAAACGGATGTGAGTCCGTTTCCGCGTCTCCTCCGGCGAAGTCGCGACGAAAGCTCGCCGGTTTGAACATGTGCGCGCACACACCAGGCGACCCCCTAATATCGCCAACCCCAGACGTCCTCCTTCTCGCCGTCCTCGCCTCCTGCCGCCGAGCGGGAGAGATATCGATTGGCCGTGTGGTACAGTGTGTATCCTCGAGAATCGGGGGATGTGGAACGATCGATTGATCGCATATGAAATGGAGTGTCTCTTGGGCGTGAATGCGGACAAGTGGCGGCGGGACGAATTGAATATCAACGCGCTGCCGTTTCTCATGCGGCACCGTTGTTGCGTGTTGATCGCGAGAGAAATTGAATGGACGGTCGCGGCTATTCGATCGAGATGTAATATTGAACCAAACAGCGCCGATATATCGCGACGATAGAGTGCGCGAGCAGATTGCCACGGTGATTCTAAGGCGATTAATGCGCGGTGAATATACGGATCTCCGCGGGAAGAAAAATGGAATAAATGTGACGTAACATCCGCGTATTTTCGGTTTGCATAATGCGCAACTGAAATCACAAAATCATCGGTCGACGTGGCATTTTCATTATCACGAATAAAGATCCGTGTCTCGGCGTGCAATCGCGGAAATTAAATATTCAAAGGCGACCGCGGGGTTAATTAACGGTAAATGAAAGATCGGCGCAAGGAACACGGTTAACCGGGAAATTAATTACGATCGCGCGATCTCGCCGGGGGAGAGCCTTGGCAGCAGGATGTGAGTGTTATCGCGATCGAAGGCTATCGACGCTATTCGCGGAGGATCGTTTTTATCGAGCTTGCGCGTACCCCGCGCAAAGCATGCATCACCGAACGTGCTTAGGCACGCACGGTACAACGTACGCTTTGACGTTACATTCGTTCCGTAATTAGCTCAGCCCGAAAGTCCGCTAAAACGATCGAGCGAGCGCGAAAGCCCGCCCGCCGGCGCGCACAATACGTCCGCTTTCGGATTTATTTGCAAAAAAAGGCGCGCGCTGCGCTAAAACCGTACGCGCCGTGTGTGGGCGACGCGACCACGTAACAGCGTGCGCGTTCCGTACCGCTAACAGGTTCGTTATGGTCCGCGGAGTGCGGATCGCAGAGCCGAACGACGCAGTAAATTCATCCCGATAATGCGGTCGCGCGGTAACGCGTGGCATCCTATCGCGAAAGAGAGAGAGAGAGAGAGACGGCTTGCGAAGCGAGATACTTTATATCGCTGGTCGCCCGACCGCACGGAGTTAGTCTTAATAAGCGTGATATGCGCGGCGCAGTTTTGGCAGACACACGCGGGGAATGCTTTCCCACTCGCTGTAACGAAAATTTCCGTAGACACGATCCGCGCATTGCTCACCAGCTATTGCTGGTTCCTTGGCTTTAGTCGAATTGGCGAGTCCGTTGCGCATCACGATCTGTCTTTCGCGATCGAAGGAAATAATACAAGTGAGGCAATAATTATTACTTGAATATCTTCCATCTCGAATATCTTCGAAGAATAGACAAATATTTATTAACGACTACATGAAGAAAAAGACGGGAGAAGTTTATACTTGCAGAAGGTGTTTGAGGTGATGAACACATCGGTATCAATGTAATTTTTGTTAGACGAATTCTTCTCGAAGATAATAGTAATGATTATCGCCTCACCGTATATCGTATACCAGCTTTCTTCGGTCTCAACGTATTTGTTACACGACTCCTCGTTTCAGTCGTTCAATTCAAATTCAAATTTTCCCATCTAATATCTCAATCAATTTAAAATCATATAACTGTATTTGTATACGCGCAACTGTGTCTACAGTAACGTTCTTAGAGGGCTGAGCTCTAAGACGATTATAAACTATATTTATCTATTTATTTATCTATCTATTTATATACACAGAGAAAAAGGTTTCTTTAGATTTAATATACGTTAGTATTTTGTTTGACTTGGATTTGTTTAATATACACAACATAATTTAATATCAAATATCATTTTGTGTGAAAATGTTGTTTCACTAGAGTAAACCATGTTGTTTGATAGAAAGAAAAACAGTGTTGTTTAGAGGAAATAATATTTGGTACTCGATGGAAGAAAGATTAATTTC